AATAACAATAGTAATAATAACGATGATAATATCAATAACAACAACAACAACAACAATAATAACGATAATGATAATAATGATAATAATTATAATCATAATTATAAAAACAATAACGAATAGAAACTCTCAAAGAGCGAATATCTCCGTCAAGGCAATGCAATAATAATGATTATTCAATCGCTAAAAAGTTGTCCCTATCTGGCAATGGAAATGATAATAATAGTCACCCCTTTTGTCAAGGCAAAAGGGGTAACTGATGCAATCATTAAAATAAAATCCATGACCCGAATCACCAACAACATTTAACGGCATCGATATTGGGCTAAGACTCTGGTAAGAATTTCATAATTTTTTGAGATATCCTGCTATCCAACCAACCAACCAACTAACAAACAAACAAACAAACTAAGCAACGCTACCAAACTCATAACATTGGCAGAGGTAATGCGAGTAAATGTACCCATTTAAAAGCGGTTACGTACGTCACTACATAACATAAAAACTATGTTAGAGATCATAGAACTCATAAGAATTTACCAATATTCTTAAAATAGATAAATAAATAAATAAATAAAGAAAAAAGATAGAAAGAAAAAAGGGATATTTACCCAACCAGATATCTTACAGCCAATAGTTCTTTGAGTCTAAGCAGACCAGCCAATGGGAGGGTCTGCGTTATATTGCTATTAGAGAGAGAGAGAGAGAGAGAGAGAGAGAGAGAGAGAGAAACACATGTGCAATACTAATATGATGATTTGTTGGGTTTTGGGGTTTGGAAATGTTGGGTTGTTAATTCATATCTATCTATCTATCTATCTATGTACATATATATGTATATATATGTATATATATATGTATATATATATATTATATATATATATATATATATATATATATAATATATATATATATATATATATATATATGTGTGTGTGTGTGTGTGTGTGTGTGTGTGTGTGTGTGTGTGTGTGTGTGTGTGTGGTGTATATATATATATATATATATTATATAATATATATATATATATATATATATATATATATATATATATATATATATATATATATATATATATATATATATATATATATATATATATATATATATATATATATATATATATATATATATATATATATATATATATATATATATATATATATATATATATATATATATATATATATATATTATATATACATATGTATATATGTATATATATGTATATGTATCTATATCTATCTATCTATCTATCTATATATATATATTTTTTATTTTTTCTGTCTTCGTTTCTGTATTTCTTTCTGTTTGTCTATCTCTGTCTATATGTCTCTCTATCTGCCAATCTACTTATTTATTTATATATTAACTTATCCCTCTCTCTCTCATTGTCTGTCTGTGTCTCTCGTTTTTCTCCCCCTTTGCCTGTTTTTATTCCACACACGTCTCTCTCTCTCACTGTCTGACAATCCTTTTGTGTGATTTTCTCTCTCTCATTTTCTTCTCTTTATTTATTTCTCTCTCTCTACCTCTCACTGACTGTCTATCTTTTTGTCTGGCTGTATATCTCCCTCTTTCATCAGATTTTTACCTCCACGTTCCTCAGTTTACCCATTCAGTATTTTCTCTATTCATTCTCCGGACTTTATCATTAATGCTTTCCCTCCCCCTTTCAGATCCAAAAATATTATTATTTTTTCCTACCATCACTCCCGTCCAGAAGGTCCTTGACACCTCGATCCACGCTCGGAGCTGAATATGCTCTTCTGCCTCTGATTTCTCGCCTCATTACTTCCATGCTCCTCCTCCTTGGAATTCCGTGCCTTCCCGTCTCTTCGTGTCTTTGTCTTTGTCTTTATGTATCATCGGTTCTGTGATTTTTTTTGTTTTTGTTTATGTTCTCTGCAGCGTGTGTTTCGATTTTCTTTTGTTCATTTTTTTTTTTTACCTCTTTATATTGTTTTGTCTCTTGTTTAGCTCCTCATGTTCTCTTCTATCCCTCTCTTCCCTTTCCTTTACATCCTTCCGTTTCTCTTCTTGCTCCTCCTTCTCCCCTCTCTTCTTTCCTCTCTCCTCACTATCCTAACCCTCCTCTCTCAATTTCTACTCACTCCTCCTCCTTTTTCCCACCGTTCCCTCGTTTCTTTCCTATCTTTCTTCCTCCCCGTTTCCTTCTCTCTCTCTTCGCTACCCTATCATTCCTACTCTTCCTCCCTCTCCCTCTCATACGTTCCCAGTTCCCTCTCTTCTCTCTCTCTCTCTGCTACCCTATCCTTCCCTCTCTCTCCTTCCCTCCTCCCTCCCCTTCTTATCAGTCTCCCTCATTTCCTCTCTTCGCTCTCCTGTATCTCCCTGTTTTTCTGTCACTCTACCATTCCCTCTCTTTTCTCGCTTCCTCTCCTCCTTTCTCATCATTCTCCGTCATCCTTCCTCTTTTCGCACTCTCTCCGCTACCCCTATCCCTTCCTCTCTCCCCTCCCCTCCCTTCTCCACACCCTCC